CCTCCAACCTACATCAACCTACTAGCGATGGCCTCCAACCTACATCAACCTACTAGCGATGGCCTCCAACCTAACAATCGCACTGGTGGTCCCAAAGGAAGGGTGGCCAAAGAACGAAGCAAGAATGCCACCACTCGTTAATTCAACTCCTCCAACAATGCCACCCCGACACGAGGAGTTTCTTGGAGGGTGCAATTCCCGTGCGGAATTGATGGCAGCCGAGCTAACTCAGCATGTTCATGAGAATGACCATTCGACCCCTTCTACTTGTTGCTACATGCTCGGACGCTCCACGGCAAAAAGCTTCCCCCTCCCCGCAGGTGAACGACATCTTCGTCACCATCCTGCGTCAAATGGTCTGAGCGAAGCCTCGCTGGGCGGATCCCGGATCGCACCGAACGAAGCTTCGCAACGAAAGCCGCTCCGTGAACCGATGTGCCGGGAGAAGCCACGAGCGACATGACGTGCTTGGTCACCGCCCCTGCTTGGTCACCGCCCATCAGCTTACGTGGAACACAGTCAGACAGTAACCTGCAGTGGTCACTTTGCGAAATCCTGCGTCAGAACCATTCCGGAAATTCCATGGCGTATTCAACAGGTTTTGGTGGATTGTGATCAGTTATTCTTAGAGTTTGGTATCGATTCTGGGCAAACAGCGAACACCCAACAGCAAACAGCGAAGCGCCGCTTCTTCCGGAAACGCGGAGGAGCTCCCACACAGGTCTTTCTCACCGAACCGCGGCCGAAACCGCTCCTTCGCCATGGCGAACGCCATGGCGAACGCCGCGCAGCGTCAGCGCGTGACGCCTGACGCTTTCGACGTCGCGTCTTGTGGTCCCGGGCCATGCGAATCGCATCACGGGTCACTTGACCAGGCAGCTTGGCAGAGTTTGTGGAGCCGCTTCTGGGAGTTTGGGCTGAACAGAAGCGTTTCAATCTCCCAAAGAAAGGCGTAGAGTGACACACTCCCAGCCCGGAGAATGATGGCTTGTTTGGTACCTTCCTATAATTTGGTGGAAGTGGCAAAGTGGGCGGCTTCTGACTGATGTCGAAACGTCAATGTACAACTTTGAGGCTTGAGGCATCATTGTGCCTTGCTTTTGGCACAGATTCTTCTGGTTTGGTTCAGATGTTGTGACGTCGAGGCCGGCCACGGATTCAATGACCCTTCGGCTTGTGGAACAACTGCTCCTCTTGGCCACTTCGTGGCATCACAGACACCGTGGCAAGTAGTGTTGTAGAAGTGCCACCCGCTAGGCCCCTAGCCCCCAGCTGCTCTGAATTCTGGGAATTCCGCCCATTCTGCACCAGTCTTAGATCTCGAGGCAACTGTAAGCTTCAGTGTCGATGAAGAGCCCTGGATGTCTTCAGCAACCGGATGGGCGAGGCATCGCCCTTGTCTCGGCTGAGACTGGTTGGAAGGCCGCGCGGGGCGAGGTGTCTCGGTATCTTTGGTGGATCGGTGTCGGGTTGTTGTTGGTGTTCCTTTTGCTTTTACGTTTAGGGTCCTTTTTCGGTTTGGGCTTAGTTTTGGTTCCTGTTTTGGTGCCACTGCAGGCATCTGATGTGAAAAAGCCTAGTTTTCTTCTTCGAAGACTTTGTTGATCTTTGTTGCTTGGTGTTTGCATGCCTGACGGTGAAAACCGGGTAGGCAAGTGCAGTGGACCGCCGTTGGAGTGCAGTGGACCGTGGACCGCGAGTGCAGTCCCTGCATTGTAATCCAACAATTCCCACACCATACGCGAGGTATTTGTGCTTACTCATTCTTCTTTGTGGGTATTGGGAAGTGGGGTGTTTAGAAGGACATCATGTGACATTATACATTTTTGTGGCTGTGTGTGTTTTATCGATTGGATAACTTGCACTGGCGACAAGCAGAAATCCGAGTTTGCTCTTGAGGCTTCGCCCACAATTCAAAACCAGCAAAAGTCCAGACGCAACATTTCCTTCTGTCCAAGGAGAGCCAGGGTTCTTCTTCACACTTGGAAGGTTCTGCCATCAGGGGCACGGCATTCTATATAATATTATTCTAGAATCAGTCAGTTTTTGGGCACACCAAGTCTTTGCTTCTTTCCTGCCCTCGCACCAAAGTAAGGCTCCCAAGCCCTCTCGCATGCAATTGCGCCGCTCAAGTTGAGGGTACAAACAGCATGTCTTAACATGTTTTAAAGAAAGCCATGACACGTTTGGCCGTGCAAAAGAGAAGCATGTTGTTTTGCAGTTGAATGCAAGAACCAATGCAAGCAATGTTGTGAGTTTGACACAGATTGACCGCAACCATCATCCTGAAGGCTCAGCCATCGCCTGGGAGCGCAGGCTCAACCAGTCCCATGAGGTGACAGGCCATGATGTTTCGGTGATGCTTTTCGATTTTTTTCCTGTGGCAGTTGTTGCTTCAAACATTCTGGATGGAACAGTGACCTGTCATGTTCTGAAGATTTCTCAAGGCAAGTGCGGATGTGATGTCTATGTCAGATCATCGGTGTTTTTTTCTTCCGTATTTGCTTTAATGACTTGGTGGGCCCTGCAGTGCTTGGCCTGAGCTTTGCCCAAGGCCTGAGCGGTATGAACATCAACTGTAGTCAGCTGCAAGGGCCCTTTGCAGAAGGGCAGGGCCGCAAAAAGAATAGAAGTGAGGGCACCCAACCGCTGAATCTCCCATATCTGGTAACAACCACTCAAAGCATGAACCACATCCAACCATAGCTCATGTATGCTCATGTGAACGCCCAAGTGCCGAGTGCTGCTTTTTGATGCGCCCAAGTGCACCATGGGCTGAATGGGCTGTGGTGGATCCCATGTGGAGCTGAAGCGCCAGCAAGTCCTTTGTCGCAGATGGGGCGGTGGTTCGGCGGATTCGCCACGAAGTTCCCTAGGTCCCTAGGGCCCCTAGAATCCCTAAGAAACTGATGAGCAAGGCAGGCAAGAAAGCGAAGGACTGTGACGAAGGGTCCAATTTGGGCCTGGATCACTGGCCACCGTCCATGCTTTGCTTCGATTCAAGGGCAGAAGCAGGCCTCAACCTCGGGATAGGGATTCTATCTTTTGCTTTGGGTACTTGTCATTGTTTGGTTCCTGTTTTGGTGTTTTGTTCCAGCAGGGCCTCAACCTACCTGTTATGATCTATTCTGCAGGCATCAACCAAGCCTTGGTTTTGCTCCAGCACTTCACAACGTTCAGCTTTTTGACCTCAGTTCCTTTGATTCTTCTTCTCCTCACACATCCCCCAACCACCCCTCATACGACACAGGTCGTGCCAGCCCGGGAAGACGTCCATGCCCAGCCGCGGGAAACGGCGGTGGTGATGCAAAATGCGCCAGTGGAGGCGGCGGAACGGCTTCAAGACGCATCATGGATGAGCATGAGTCTCTTGTTTTCTGCTCGGTGATTCTTGAATGGCATTCGAAAATAAGGAGAAAAATTCGGAGAACCAGGGTGTTCAAAACTCTCATACCCCCACAAACGCCCAGTCGCTCGGCCCAACCTCTACCACGAAGATCACGAAGGGCAGGCCTTCAAGAGAGAAGACACAGACTCTTGGTTGTGTGCTTAAGACCCTTTCTTGGATAAGGCCACCACCAAGGCGTTTAGGGATAAGGCCCCGATGCCACGGAAAACCGGTGGAGGGCGGCGCGCTACTTGCGCGTCTTCTTCACCGAGGCACCGCGGTGCAAAACCACGAGATTCAGCGGCATTTGTGAGTGTTGATGCAGAGGTTGTTCACAGATCATCACATATGTTGATGCAGATCTCCTGTCATCAATTGTGCAGAGGTTGCTTGACCGTCTTGACCATATGTATATAATTAGTCAATTGTTTGATGTGATGTTTTGGATGTGTTTGCAGTAGCCATGGTTGGTATAGGTTTGACGACATTTTTCGGCGAGTCCTTGGTTGCGGGATGCGACGATGATGGGTTTTGCAAGTCGGTTGCCCATCGGCGCCCCCCTGACCCTCGCAAGATGTGGAGACCAGAGGTGCCCACATCGGTACCAGTACCTCATCGGTACCTCATCAGCTCCCAAGCTGTAGAGCTTTGCAGGGTGCGAATGCGAGGGTGGGTGGACCTCACAACAGGGTCTTGATATTTTTGGGTCCAGCCCATTACAGTCTAACCGTCGGTAAAAGTTTGAGAAGGGCCTCTCTTACTGGTAATGGGTGACTAGGCCCGGAATTGCTATTGGCTTTTCCGTTGGTGTGATGTCCAATCCGATTAATCTATCTCAATCTATACGTTGGAGTTTTCATGGTAAGAGTCGTGTTTGGGTTCTTTGTTGCTTTCCTTCGGCTCGGTTCGAACTCTATTGACGCGTTGGTATTTGGTTGCCCTCGGGCAACTGGATGTCATTTGAGGACAGACTTGCGGGAATACTTTGAGAATCTGTACCGCGAAGGAGGGGAATTTGTCCACTGCGACTACGAGGAGATTCCAGATGCGGTTTTGCACACTTGGCTTCACAAACCCACTGGCATCCAGATCTGGAGGGATGTCATCGATTTGACCAACGGAGGGATGTCACAAGTGCTGTTTCATTACACGGATGAATTGGCCTTCCGCAATATCACGCATCCCAGAAAGGAGGCCTCTGAGATTTGGGCGTCATTGAACACGGAAGGGCCCAATGCCAATGCGTGGTGGGGCAGGGGGGTCTATACGGTTCCATTGCCCCCTGACCGGTGGCAAGATCGTGAAGAACTACTTGACAACAACTTCCGCAACATGATGCGGCGAGATGAGTTGGACCAGGAAAGAGGTGCAGAGTACGTGAAGCGCGAATACCCCAAGAGGGCTGCCTTTTGTGTGCCCATCTTGGTCAACCCTTCCAATGCCTTTGACGTGTCCAAGCGGGCCACCCCAGAAATGGAGGCAGCCGGGAAGGAGC